TAAAAGAGCCCTTGAGGAGAGAGGGGAGGTTCCAACATATATCAAGGAGAAATGGTCCACGTCTAGTCAATATGGGACAAACTACAAATAAGCGATCCACTTCTGAATGTAAGAATATGTACAACCCCATTGGTGAACTCTCCAAAAGAGCCCTTGAGGAGAGAGGGGGGGGGGGTTCCAACATATATAGAGGTGAAATAGTCAAGTCCCAGCCGATGTGGGATTCTAACACTGAAGGTGTACGCCTATGCTCATTTGACAATATTACTGAACTAAGTGCAAACCTAATTTCCCAAAAGCCATCCTTTTTCATAAAGATGACGACCAAGTGACTCAATTTATACGGTTTTTTTTGTTTTTCAGGACAATGTTTTTGTGAATGTTGTAGCTTCGATACAATATCGTGCTTTGGCTGATAAGGCAAGTGATGCATTCTATAAGCTCAGCAACACAAGGTCCCAAATCCAGGCTTATGTTTTCGATGGTAAAGCCTTCAATAAATTATAGATTTCACTTAGTTTTTGTTGCTATTAGCTTAAGATGGACATGAGTTCTCTACTTGTAGTTATAAGAGCTAGCGTTCCAAAGCTTAATCTAGACGATGCTTTTGAGCAAAAGAATGATATTGCCAAAGCTGTGGAAGAAGAACTTGAAAAGGTAACATGATAGAATCAATAGGTAGTTATTTAGTGTGTTTGGTATGAAGGACAGTACAGTACAGTACAAAAACGTTTCCTATATTTGGCGCGACATTAGACTGGGACCATACCAGATCTGAGTGGGTTAAAAATGCATTTTTTTTCTGTGCCACCAAGATAGGTGGAACAAAAATAAGGAGATCAAACAAGATTGGTAAATTACTAAACTAACCATGTCAAATTAGAATCCTAAAACCTTGCACAATTATTTCATCTGCCTACCTCACTCGGGCCCGTCCAGTCCTGTCTAGTCCGACCGCATACCAAACGCACCCTATATGTCTACGAACGAACCCACCCTGGACTCTCAAGTACTATCTTGTAAACAGGCAATGTCAGCATATGGTTTTGAGATCGTTCAAACATTGATTGTCGATATAGAACCAGATGAGCACGTGAAGAGGGCAATGAACGAGATCAATGCCGGTAAAGTTTTATTGATTATTGTCGCATTTTAGGTTTACCCCCTTTTTATCTTTTAGAATCGACATTTTTGCTATCAATTTGCGGATTAAAGGGTTGTAATGAACACCTCCAGCTGCAAGGCTGAGGATGGCGGCCACTGAGAAAGCGGAGGCTGAGAAAATTCTTCAGATCAAGAGAGCCGAGGGTGAGGCTGAATCCAAGTACCTGTCGGGTTTGGGTATCGCACGCCAACGACAAGCCATCGTGGACGGTTTGAGAGACAG